GGGGGGGGGGGGGGGGGGGGGGGTGCGCACCCCCTGCACCCTCCTCCGCCCCTGTATAGGACGCGCTAATCGTAAAAAAGAACGATACGAATTGCTCAAACCAACCCGTGTCACACTAAGTGGCCAAACCTTTTGCGCAGCAATTTTAAAAGAAACAACGTTACTTAAAAGTTTCAGTTGTTAGGCTCCTTCTTCAAATGAAAGTACAGATCATTGTCTTTGTAGAGGCATCAATATCCTATTTGGAAAACCAAAGCAGAGTTTACTGGAAGTCAACAACAGAATGCAATCATTCCGTCAAGTCTTTGCTACCATCATCTGCGCTTTAATATGTCGAACGTACCTAGATCTCCCAGGATCAAGCGGGAAAACCTATGGAAAGACAGCAGTAATATCTAGTTATAGAAGATCATCGCGGACTATAATAAAAGAATCAGTGAAGGACCCCATTTTAAGCGCCAGATACCTTACAGTCCCACACAATTGTCTAAAAGGGACCTATTTGCCTACCAAAGGTTGCGTTAAAATACAAGATACAATTGGTCAGTGGTGCTCTAAAATTGTGGTCCCCAAACCTCCTCTTAAATAAAGGCGGAAACAATGTGACAATTACTTCGACAATAGCATATGTTCAATTTCAGCTCACCCCTTCAGCCCCTTCTTACCCCCTTAAAACAGAAAAAAAAAATACAAATGCTTTTGGCTATAAATCGTCGGGCCATCGTTTTTAAGTTGAACAGCCAGGGATTTTCATTTAAATTTTCCACTTAATCTGCCATGAGAAAGGAAGAATAAATTAGTAAACAACTATCAATGCCAGGTATGTAAAAGGTCATCCCAGCTGAAATGCTCATTTCGTTCGATTTCTACGAAGATTATTTTCCTTTTACTTTTCTTACTTTGGTTCAGTTAAGTTACTTTATGAATTTCTGATACAAAAGACTGAACTGCCCGTTGTTACAAGCATACCAAGTGGAATGAACGCACAGCACACTAACGTCTAACCAAGCCGTTTTCTATTGTTGCAGAACGTGAAATTGCCTACAAACAAGACAAATCAAAGAAAATAACGAATACTTACCTTTATTTGTCAAAATGAAATGTCACGTTATCTCCAATCAGCTGAAAGGGTGCCCATTCTTGTATGTCGGAAAAGCCGTTATTCCTCATCCACTTCATAGCCTGGTAAAGAGATTCACTAGCACTTTCCCCACGAACAAGATGCTCGTAAAAACGACTCATGAACTGCTCTGTTGCAATATCGTCTATGGCCCACAATGCCACCAACACGGAGCGCGCACCAGCCCCTAAGAACGCGCGAGCGATTCCAACCACTCCCTCGGCTCTGATCTGTCCTTCCGCACTGTGACAACAACTGAGGACTACCAGTTTGGCTCGCAGTCGAACATGTGCGATGTCGGCCATCGTCAGCAGGTAGTCTTCTTCTTGAGGAATTGCATTAGTGGAGAGTGATGGTGCAAGGACGATTTCACCTCTTTCGGCATTACCATGAGCAGCGAAATGAATCAAACTCACTGAATTTATGCTCTGTAGTATGACCTGCTTTGTTGCATGTTTTCCTGCCAGAGGTTTTGTTCCTAAAAGTTGGGAAATCATCTCTGCTTCTCTTAGCGCAAATGGCAACCTCGGTGGATGGCAAATTTCACCTTCATACCGCACCTGTCCAACATCGGGATCACCTACAATCAGTGCACCAGTCTGGCTGTGATAATCTGCTGGACTGTCCTGAATAAGCCTCAGAGTCGTTAAAGAGGGGACGACGCGGATTCTGAAAGCTTCTGACAAATATTTACCACTCTGGTCCTTTAAAGCCGCAAATGGAAGTTTGTAAAAGACGCGATCTGGGACAAAGACGATTTCGGGTTCCTCGAGTACGTCAGCAACAGGATTGATGATCATTTGGTAATAAAAAGCTAGAATCTCTTGGGTTTCTTCGGTCGAAATTTGGAAAACGTTCGCGATATCTCCATTCGATGCTGATTCTCGCTTTGGCTCACTCACATTTGAAGGACACCAAGATCGATCCTCACATTTGACCTGATTTCCACGAGTTCCACTGCCCAAATATTCAACGAGTTTTAATGCCTTGCAGTTATCAAGCATAACTGATCTGTAAAGCATTGGTTCTCCGTCTTTGAGTAACCATAAGAATATAAATTGTTCATAATAAGACACATACAGGCACACACAGCGACTTTCATTCTTTACTATCCCTTCTATACCAACCCATGACTGTGGATTGACTGGTTTCCCTTTCTCCATTGAGTACTTAGATAGCATTAGGTCTGCAAGGGCTCTGGCTCGTCCAAGCTCCGCAGCGTAGAGAGCGTTTGAGGGATCTTTATTGGCACAAAACAAATAACTGAGACACTTGTAACAATGAACATGTTCGTCAAAAAGCGAAACCTTCAAGTTATCATCTTCTCCCAGAAGGCTGCGCATATCCTCAGCCTTGGACGTGCTTTCAAAAAGATGCGCTTTAGCTTCATGCATGTGGTTTTCATTTAACATGAGTAGCGAAAGGCAAAAGTGGGTCGTTAACTCAGACGATTTGCTTCCTTCCTCTTTGTGCATCACTAGCGCTTTCTCCAGATATTCGTTAGCCTTGGCATTTTCGTTGAGAGACAGAAATACAGTTCCTAGATGTTGGTAGCTTTTAGCTTCGTATTCTCTGCTGTCAATTTCTTTTGCCAAATCAAGTGCTTCGTAAAGAAATTTCACCGCCATGTCATATTCACCGAAATATTTGTACACTCTTCCTAGGTTTCCGAGAGTTGCTGCTTCTCCAGCTCTGTTACCGATTTTCTTGTGAATCGTAAGTGCTTTTTCGTGACACTCTCTAGCCTTGACGTATTTCTCGAGATCTTGAAACACAGTTCCTAGGTCTCCTAAAAATAAGGCTTCTCTCTGTTGGTTTCCAATTTCCTTTGCAATCAAAAGTGCCTCTTCGAGGTATTCTTTCGCCTTGGAATACTCACCGAGAGCCTGCGATAGAGTGCCTAGGTTTCTACGCTGAACAGCTTCTAATTCTCGGTAACCTGTATTCTTTGCTAATGTAAGTGATTTTTCGAAATGTTCTTTAGCTTCAGCATAGCTGCCGATAGACTGTAACACTTCTCCAAGGTTTCCATAACATGTAGCTTCATCTCTCTTGTCACCAACTTTCTTCACGATCACAAGTGCCTTTTCTAGATATTCCTTAGCCTTGGCATTTTCACCATGTAAGTGGGCTACAGTTGCTAAGTTACAGTAACACGAGGCTACAACTCTCCTTGCACCAACTTCTTTTGCCATCACAAGCGCTTTCTCAAGATATTCTTTAGCCTTGGCACCTTCACCAAGATGCAGGAAGATGGTTGCTAGGCTAGAATAGCATGAGCCCCGTTCTTTTTTGTCGCCAATTTCTCCTAGGATTGAAAGTGCTGTTTTGAAATACTTTTTAGCTTTTAAATATTCTCCAGTGGACTTAAAAACGTTTCCTAAGTTCCCATAAGAGGTAGCTTCTCCTCTCTTATCACCGGTCTCTTTACTGATTGCAAGAGCTTTTTCAAGATTTTCTTTAGCCTTGCCGTACTCACCAAAGGAATAAAATAAAGTTCCTAGCTTACTATAACAGATGCATCCTACATCTTGGACTCCAATTCGATTTGAGAGGACAATTCCCTTTTCCAGACATTCTTTAGCTTTGCCGTATTCTCCTAAGGACATAAGACACGATCCAAGTTTACCGTAGCAGAATGCTTCTTCTCGTTTTTGACCAGTTGCCATATAGCTAGGAAGTGCTTTAGGATAATACTCTTTTGCTTCCTCATACTTAAGTTGCTGTTCATAAACCATCGCGAGTTCAAACATGACCTTTCCTTCCAAGTCTCTTTTACCAGTTCTTCGTTGAATCGCCATGAGTTCTCTTCCACATTCTATGGCACTCGCGGGGTTATTCATAAGACGGTACGCGATAATCATTGGGAAGTAAATCACGTAGGTGGTTAACTCAACGAATTCCTTTTCTTTTTCAAGGGCTTTATTATTAAGGAGGAGCACGCATTCCTTGTACACCTGAATAGCTTTTTCAACTCGATTGGTGTTGAGAAGGAGCGCAGCAACACCTACACCAATGCATAAAGCGTCCACGAGCTGTTCTAGATTGTTCATGGCGGTACTGATTTTCTAAAGACAAAATTAAAGTTAAGTGAAGAAAATGTGAATTAAATGATATTTTGAGCCACATGTAAATAAAAGTAACCTGAAATCCTAGGTTACGATAACTTACCGAAAGTAGGTTGAGTTTGATCGTCCGGGTAAACGTAGTCGGGACTGTTGTTGTTGACAGTGACAGTCACTGTCAACACCAACAGTCCTATTCAGGACTAAGTTCACTCAACCTACTTTTGAAATGACTCCTGGGTTCAAACCTTTCACAATAACTTGTGGGCACCGAATCTCCTGCGGGGAACGCTTATTTTGGCCTCTCTTATGGTGTTCTGGCGGCCGGAAAGCCAGCATTTATGCCCATGAGGTGTCTCGTAGGGTTGTGCGTAAACAAATATCTCGTATAAAAAAAGAAAACGCTGTTATATTGTCAGGAGCGGCTCCTACACGGTGTTGAAGTTTGGTCTCTTTTGTCTCTTTAACGGTCAAATAAAGCTTGAGTCATACCCATATTGGTCTCCTTTAGGGGTCAAATAAAGCTTCAGCCACGCCCATATTGGCCTCTTTTAGGCTTTTAATTTTGATCTTTCCAACGAGCATTCCCGTCACTTTTTACGAGATTTCCTCCCGGGAAAAAATAATAAGAGGTGTCCAGCCGTTTATAGAGATACGAGGTAACGTGACACCAGTAATTTTAAAGCTGAACACCTATTCGCAATGAATACACGTGTGTTTATCTTGTGTAAAACCAGCTAAAAACTGGAGCAATCAAAGGTTCATTACGAGCAAACTTTCACGGCTTCGGGGTCCGCCCAAAAGCCTAACAGTACACACTCTGCAAACTGAAGTAAGACTGTAAAATATCATGGCAAAGATTTTGCAATTTACTGTCATATTATCATAGAGCACCGACATTTCCGTTTTGAAGTTTTTTTTCTGCATAAAGCACTTCCCAATTGTCCGTTGACAGTTTCAAAATTGTTCGTTGTCGGTCTTAAAGAGGTGTCCGTCTTATAGAGAGTATAGTTACAGTAATATGACTGACAATCGGCAGGGACAAACACCTGGTGTCCGTCTTTAAAGTTGTCTGTCTTATAGAGGTGTCCGTTATAGAGGAATGAGTTAGCTGTAGAGGTAAGGCCATGAGCCTTTGCCTTTGCAGGTGTTAACGAAGGAAAATATGGTTTGCGCGTTTCAGTGTAAGTCCTAGACTCAAGATGTCTTCCCTATGCTACATAACATAACATTCAGTTACACACACATAACATTACTCAAGACTTCATAAGTAACTAAATTAGGTAAGGTTTACTAATTTGCCTTTGCCGACTCACCTGCTTGTTCAAACTTAAGGATCGGAACAAAAAATGCAATTTACGCAACCAGAAAGGTTTTAACCTGAAGTTTAGAAATAAAGCAAGTAAAAATTAATTCCTAAAGTCAAGAAAAATTCACCTCGGATGATTTACTTTGCACGCATGCGTGGTTCCCCCATTTATTTCGTGCGGCTTGTTGGTATTGGGGGCATATTTACATGGAGTTGGGGGACCCCAGGTAGGTGAGGTAACATGTGGTGGGTCACCCCACCTATCATGTAACCGTGATCAAATTAAAATAAGAGATTATATGGACAGCCGGGTTACCCCTCCTAAGGGGGTTACCTCACCTACCTGGGGTCCCCCACCTCCATGTAAACAGGCCCTTAGTCAGGGAAACTGCTCTTAAATAATATGCACTGGGGTTAGATATTGTCTAAGATCAAATGACGGCAAACGTCCTAACATGCCATTATGCAAGTCAGTTTACCACGCTGGGTGATCGATCTTTTTATATGGCTGCCCCAAAATTATGGAGCGATCTTCCCCTTTCTATTAGAAATAAACCGTCAGTTAATGGTTCTAAAAAGGCTCTTAAAACTCATTTGTTTCAGAAAGGCGTTTCCCAGTTAATTCATTGTTGTCATTATTTTTATCAAAAAAGGTGTGTAAATAGGATTTTAAAGAATAATTAGTAATTGTGTTTAGGATTTTTAGAATTAGGATGGAACATAGTTTTTTAAATAGGATTTCTAAGTAGAATTTATGTAATGCGCAGATGAAATTTTCTTTCTCTGGATTGATATTTGCGCAATACAAATCAATAAATATCATTATTATTATGGTAGAAAATTCGTGTAAAACATTTATGGATATATGTTTTTCGAAACTATAAGTTAGTAAAAACCGATATTGTGTTTATAATGTCTGTCATAATGGAAAGTTATTCCTCAATAGGAAGTCTGGAATGTGGTCTCGTTACTTATAGAATTACCAACCGACACAACTGTCAATAGGGACTATAGGCAAAACGCTACGGTGATGTTTACTATGCTCAGTCTTGGGGAAAGTACGTCACTATCGTCCGCCAAATTTCAACGTTAAGCAAGTGACTACGGGGTTTCTCGCTCATTTGCGTTCGCTGTAAGTAAAACGCAGGGAGGACGTGATTACTGAAAAACCAGAAGCGTAAAATAATTTCTTGATAAAGTGAAAAACTATCTATGATGGGTTTTAAAACCAGTGATTGTAAAAAATAGGAAAAAAGGCGACTTTTATACTAACGTAGTAGCGACTACGCCACAAGACAGGTCTTCACGTTGTAGGATTTGACGTTACAGCGAACGGTCATTTCCAAGCCTGCGCAGTGCGTCATTCTTGGCTCTTTTACTTTCGGCCGCCGAACATTCTCGTCCCCAGAGCCACTCGGCTTAATTTGTAACCGACCAGTGGCTCTGCCCCTCGTTTCCCGACCACGTGACCAAGAAACGATGGGCTCTGGGGACGAGAATTGCTGCCGAAGTAGAGATCTTAGCGATGTGCTTGAAGTCCCTAATGACATCATTGAACAGCTGTTTCTCGGAAAACACAGGAAGTCTATGATGTCAAAGGACGTTTCCTATATAAAATGAGTCAAGATTCCTTTCGATCCTTTATCCAACAGTCAAAAGGAAGATACGATGTAACGCTGTTGTTTGACAGTAAAAGAGAGACAGCACTTTCTTGAGAACATGAAATAGACAGTGGATGCACCACTTGCAGAATTTAATTGTAGAATTAAATCTAATCCCAAGGCCTCATTATTCCGCGCAAACTAGTATGCGTTACCGAGAAGGCCTAGGAATACGCCGTGCAAGGAGCAGGCAAAAATAGACGGCCTGGCTAAAAGAAAAAGAAAAATACTGCAACCCTGGCTAGTGCCCATCACATCATAGACTTCCTGTTTTGATTCCGAAAAAAAAACATATTCACATTACAAGTAGACTCATATGTGCGGAAGCAGTCAAGATTTTTCCCCGGGGGGAACTCCCATATAAAAGTGACGGGGATGCTCGCCGCAAAATCAAAAGGAGACCAATGTGAGTGTGGCTCAAGCTTAAACTGACCCTTAAAGAAATCACGGTATTTTTCGTTAACTTCTTTACGGACAGCCCTAATCGATACCTGAATGGGCAAATATAGTGACGTTCCATCCCAAATACCCCAAGTGAGACCAAAATCTGAAATTCTGACCCCAAAGCGAGTCGAAACATCCTGTCACTTTTATATGGGAATTCCCCTAGGGGATTTTTCCTAGAAGGAAAAGCAAACTTACGTACATTTCTGTTTTTACAAACGGTGTGTTAAAAAATAGAAACATTGTTCTCGTTACGTTTAGTAGATATGAGAATGTCTTTTTAAAATATGCTCTCCGTCATTTGAACTCAAACATTTAGCGCGTGTGGTTTTAACGAGATACAGGCGTCATTTCTACGAAAAAGGAATGAGCTTCGATCTCATTTCTGTCACAAAATATAGCTCTTTATGGCTGAGCGTCATTATTCAAAGGATATCACGAAGGAAAGACCATGAAGTTTCTTCATTCATAAACTGTTACGTATTTGATGTCATATTGACACACAATATGGCGTATGCTTGATTTGCCGACTCAAATCTCGCACATTTACAAGCAGTATTGCGACGTAGCTCCGTTAAGGTAGCGTCTACAGAGGCCGTGCTCCTATTTTTTGTTGGTTCTACTTTTAAAATGGCACGGACAAGAAGTTCTGTTGATAAATTAATACACGCAAACAAGCTGAAAAGATTGTACTTACCGTTCGCCTCTACTTGCTTTCAGTTGTAAAGTGCAACAGTATGTAATCGGAAACTCCGCGAAGCTTATCATGTTTCAAATTGGCCAGAAATACCGTGTGACTGTATTCAGTGTATTGTTTTACGAGGTCAAACTTAATTTTCTAGAGGGAAGGGGATGATACTCTTGGGCGGGGCTAGTTGGTTAATTTTTGCTGGGTATACAGGGGCGGATCTAGGGGGAGGGTGCAGGGGGTGCGCACCCCCCCCCCCCTGAGA